AGTATGTCACCCCCATATTTAAACACCTCCGGAATAATTCCGTCGGGTCCTGCCGCTTTGCCTCGTTTCAAATTACTGATAGCTTTTGTAACCTCACCTACAGACGGCGGACCAGTGTCTATATCCCATTCGGGTACGTGGTGGATGGCGGGGAGGTTCAGTGTGGCTGTAGGCAAGTTAAATTGTTCCTCAAAGTGTTCTTTCCAGCGTTCAAGGCGTCTATCCTGAGAGCTAATTAAGGAGCCATTTTTCTCAGAAATAGTCTCACTTATGAATTGCCTTTTCCCGCCCGATTCTGTGATGAGTCTAAAGAGTTGCCTAGTGTTGCCTATCGCCAATGCTTTTTCCATCTCTTTCGCCTTTGTCACCCACCACTGTTCACGGTCCTTGCGGAGACTTTTAGTAAGTTTCCTTTTGTGCAGCTTTCGCTCCTCATTGAATTCGGAGCTCGCCGGAATAAGTCTTCTAGCATCTATCAGTTCGGATGAGGCAGTCGAAATCCAGTGGTTTTTACTCACCTTTGGATTTGTCTTATTCACAGCTTTTACAGCTGTATCTATAGCTGACTGAATATTCTTCCAGGCTTCTCCAGGGTGAGCACAGCTGTCGATTCAGATATGCGTTTAGCTAGTTCTTCCTCAAATAGGGATTTAGTTTCCTGATCGAGCTGGGGGCGTAATGGTTTTACCGCCAGCTGTTTCCTACGTCCGTTCAGTCGTAAGCACACACGAGCCCGGACCAGTGCGTGATCGGTATCTACACACGTGTTCCAGAAGGAGCGACAATCTCCTACCGACCCACGCCAACGATAGCTTATTGCTATGTGGTCTATTTGTGTCCAGCGTTGGTTTGATGATGGGGGTCGCCAGGTTAAACAGTGTCTCTCCTTGTGTTTAAAGTTAGTGCTTACAAGAAACAAATGATTATCTGAACAGAACTGTAGGAGACGGTCACCGTTGTCGGTTCGCTGGCACGGAACTCCATAGGTGCCACCGACATCCTTCTCAGATTGACACAATTTCCCTACTTGAGCGTTGAAGTCACCAGCTAGAACGACTATATCTGAGCGTTTAGCCTTTCTCACCAAACTAGACAGCTTTTGGTAGAACTCATCCTTCGTTTCATCCGAACTGCAGTCAGTGGGGGCGTAGGCGGAGATTACGAAAAGGCATCGGCGAGTAGTGCAGTCCTTTCTCCTTCTTACTGATCCGTTCAGACGGACAGCACACATTCGGCTATCTACTGGGATCCAGTCAAGCAATGTCTTTTCTGCCCTAGTACTCAGAGCTATCCCTACGCCAGCTAATCCGCGTGAACTAGCTGTGGCATCTCCTGACACCCTCAAGGTGAATTTTGAAGATTCATCCTGTTGGCCAGGTGGGGTTAGGTGAATAACCACACTTGGGTCTTGTATGCGTGTTTCTGAAACACAACATACATCAATGGCTCGAGATGCCAGGGTCTTAGCTAGTGATGCTTGTTGTCCTATTTGGCAAAGTGTCCTTACATTAAATGCTCCTATATGAAATTGGTGGCGTGGCTTTAGGAGACTATCCGTGGTGGTTTTTTGGCTTTCGTCGTTTTTAGTGGACACAGAGTGAAGAGGGAGTGAGGAGCCATCAAGTAGAGGAGTTGCATCACTGGGGGGAAGGTAAGGTAATAGAGATGAAGATGAAGACAAAGATAAGTGAGGATTAGAGAGGTTTTGTGTGCGTTTTGGATTGTGAGGGCGATTGTTACTTCCCGGCTGCCCACACCGTGGAAGTTGGTTGCGTGACCGCAGAGCCCAGGGGACAACTGCTTGTGGCCGGTCACACGCGGCCTGTTTTTGTTCGTTCTTTGTTGTTTTGTGTGCCTCAGTAGCATACTTATCACTCCCGCCCTGTGACACGGCAGCAGGAAGCGCGGTCGTTGTTAATCCGGGCCACGGCCGATCCGGCATGAAATTTTGTGAATTTGTTTGGATCATGGTATTGGATGAGGTGTAGACGAGATGTTCGACTATCGACCAAAGGGCGGGTGTACTGCTCATCAGTCCTCTCCGTCCTCCTTTATGGCTGTGAGTGAGACCTGGCCACTGAGAGTGGAAGACATGAAAAGACTAGCTGCCTTTGATCATAGGTGCCTGCGCTCTATTTCCCGTGTAAAATGGCATAATAAGGTGAGCAACATTGAAGTTAGGCATCAGTCGAGTTCTAGGTAAACAGGGGAAATCAATCGACGAAGTCGTGAAGCTACAAAGACTGAGATGGTTAGGACATGTGTTACGTATGCCAAGTCATCGCCTCCCTCGACAATGAGCAATGTTAGCGGATATAGGGTCAGGCTGGAAAAAAGCTAGCGGCGGTCAAACAAAATCTTGGCATCAGTCAATGAAATCCACAACAGTTGGTCTAAGCCAGTAACGTAGGAAGGTGTAGACTTCCAGGCTGGGATCCTCGGGACGGTAAAAATCTATGGTTGGAAACAATTGGTGATATGGCTCAAAATCGTTCTCAGTGGTTGGCGCAGATGCATCCACTCCCTGTGACTTATGATCTTCAATGAAATTGTTTTGTATTTCTTTATTACTCCTTTGTCTCACACCTCTGCTCACTGTCTCTATTATGCTTTTCTTGTACTTTCTTCTCTTGTTTCGCGTGCTACACGGAGTGTGGCGACTTGAACTGGCGCACATTTGTGCAAAGTTCTATGTCGAAAACAGACAGACACTGAACATATATGGACATATCCTATGTACTAACAATGTTAAGTTTACATTCGAAGGTGAGCATTATCGCCAGATCTATGGTGTTGCTGTGGGAAGCCCCCTAAGTCCACTGTTAGTTGATATATATATATATATATATATATATATCATGTTGAGAACCTAGTGGAGAAAGAAATTAGAAAAGTTTATTTTTATAAAACATATGTAAATGACAAAATAGTCATTTGTGAGAAACCGACAGAAGCCATAGAAATCCTGAACCAGATCAACAGAGCACAAAACAATATATCGCTAACATACGTTAAAGAGGATAATGGTTGCTTGCCATTTTTAGATGTACTCCATAACCCGTCGAGAAGATGGGTCAGTAAAACGATCTGCCTACAGAAAGTCAACATGGACAGGACAATATCTAAATTATCATAGTTTCTGTCCACTACAGTATAAAAAGGCATTGGTTAAGTGTTTGTTCAAGCTCATTCACCGTATATGTACTGCCAATAAAATTGAAGAAGAAAGACAACACCTCACTGAAATATTTTTAGATAACAATTACCCACTGGGATTTATTAGGCGTTACGGAAGTGTCAACTATAGAGCTTTACCAATCCAATCAGCTTCCAAAAAAGATATTTACATATCCTTGCCGTTCAGGGTGATCAACAAAGTCTAGTCACTAGACAAAGACTAAAGGCCGCAATTAATACAACTTATTATACAGCTAAACTTATCTTTATAGAGAAAACGAGAACTATACTGTACTGTAAACCCTCACATTATCCGAACGATAGTGTCACATCCCACTGTGCTTATCCATTTACATGTATGTGTGGAGACACGTACATAGGGAGGAACCATCGGTCTCTACAAGTTAGGACTAAAGAACACATTCCAAAGTGGCTGCAACAACAAATGAAATTGCCAGATACAATTGACCCCGAAAATAGATGTCCAACATCATCTATAGCGAAGCACATTATAGAGATGGCTTCATTTCAACAATGCCTTTAAGCACATATATAAAACAAGGTTCGGTTACATACTTAAATTCGTTGAAGCCTTAGCCATAAAAATGACTTAAACCTATCTTATGTGTCCAAAAGTTATTTGTTATCATCTTAAACCTGCCTTGGAAATCCAATTTAGAACTAAAGATCAATTTATTTCATAATATTTTTAACCGCTTCTTTGCCTTGTTATTTTCTCTTTTCATCTTCCTTACCCACACCTTTGCGTCTCCCTATCCATCATTTGTGACCTTGACCTGTACACAGTCTGACTTGTATTGTAATTATTCATGCATTCTTGCCTTCTATAAAAACTGTGTATGACAAGTACTCGTGTGTGTGTGTGTGTGTGATCAGAATGTCCGAAATGTGTTGCGCAAATAAATTACACGTTTCAGATAAACTATGTCTTCTTATTGTGTTGTCGAAATCCATAAAGGGAACTAACTGTTTTAAACCCTGCTAGAGAACGGGTATCATCCAAGATTTATAAACAAAAAAAATGAAAGAGAAGCCTCCGTCGCCAAACATTGCAACTATTCCTAAGAAAGCTCTCTCTCTCTTCGTGAACCTGGAATTCAAAGGTGAAATCGCAACGGAAATTGTCAGAAACCGACTTTCTAAATGTCTGAAGAAGAAGACATTTCCAACAGTCACTGTACGTATCACATACTCCAGCAGGCAGTTAAGCCGGTCTAACGTTAAGGATAAGATACTGCTTTTAGCCACTTCAGTGTGTATTTATGAATTCACTTGCTCATGTGGACCAAAGTATATCGCCCGTACGCAACGTCAAGTTCACAAACGTATTCTGGAACACTGTCCAGCTTGGTTAACCAGCCAGAGGAGAAAAGAAGAATAACAGCAGCTCTATCCTTGAACACCTCGTCATCTCCGAACATATCAACCAACCCCGCATGAATACTTCACAGGGCTATACACAGTCCCTCAATATCATAACACAAAGGGACTTCGCATAGGTCATCTGTATATAGCTGAATCGTTGGTTATTCGAGATCTGAAACAGGACCTCTGCATTCAAAAACGATACAATTAGGAATATTATCTATCGTGTGCAATACTATTAAAAAGCAGTCTTGTCTTACTCCTGCCTACACTTTAAAGACTTCGCTAAGTTATCCTCTATGCGGATCCCCACCTATACCATCTACCAAAGTGCTCAAATTCTACTATTCTTATATTAGTGACACCCAACCCTCTCTGTCTCCTTTCCCCAATATTAGCAAATAGTAGTTTAAGAGGTTCAACAGAGAACACAATAGGATTCATAAATATATATATATAATACACTGACAACTGCTCATTCGGTTAGTTAGTTAGTTAGTACATGGTTAGGTGGGATGGGGTTGAGTGTTTACCCACAGTAACTAAACCACTTCTGAAATCGTAGAAAATCATTACCTTGTCCATCAGCAGTTTGCATCCCCTTCTAATTCAACACGTTTCTTCTCCCATAATGTCTCAGCCAGCTTATGCTGTTCTTTCACCAAAGCACGTAAATATTCCCGGGCAATGAAAAGATTGTCTTCGCTTATTTCTTGTTTCACTTGTTTAGTATTCAGCAGTTTACTGTGTGTTTGATGAACTTTGTCCATTTCACGGATTGTGTGTTGTAACAATTCACGTCCTATTGATGAATGAGGGAAGATGTTCAATTCATAGTAAACAGTAATAATCATAATAACATATGTTATATAGACAAAGCAATAAGAATTATTTAATTGAATTTTAGATTTTCCCGTCGACTGATTGGACTGAAGTGATAGCGAAGATTTCTAGCTCAGATGGATGATTTTGACGTAGTTGTGTTCTCTGAACTGGATGGTTGATTTGCGAAGCTTTCATCACCCTACTAGGTGACATCTCCAACGCATACTTCAATTCAATGAAGTGAGCTTTCAGATTTCTCCACGAGTTCACCATTAGTCATCTCTCCTGGTGACCACCTTGAACGTGATTGGTTGTTTTTGTGTGTTTTCACACCTTCTAGGCTACTTGTATTGGGACTGACAGTTTCTTTGACTTGAACTTTGACTCTTTGTGTGTGAGAATTCCTTCCTATCGGCTGGTAAATTTAGTCTATCTCGATGTATCTATTGATTGACGATTCACCGGAATACTAGGCAAGCTACAAAAATTCTCGAGCATTCTTGTTGTTTCCTCTGTCTAATATTTGAATGTCAGGCTGGGAAAAAGCTAGCGGCGGTCAAACAAAAACTTGGCTTCACCAGTCAATGAAATCCACATCAGTTGGTCTAAGCCAGTCACGTAGGAAGGTGTAGACTTCCAGGCTGGGGGCCTCGGGACGGTAAAAATCAATGGTTGGAAACAATTGGTGACATGGCTCAAAATCGTTCTCAGTGGCCAGCGCATATGCATCCACTCCTTGTGACTTATGATCTCCAATGAAACTGTTTTGTTCTTCGTTATTACTCTTCCTCTATCTCACACCTCTGCTTACTGTCTCTATTATGCTTTTCTTGTACTTTCTTCTCTTGCTTCGCGTGCTACACGGAGTGTGGGGACTTGAACTTCCGCACATTTGTGCAAAGTTCTATGTCGAAAACAGACAGAGACAGACAGACAGACACAGATTGGAAACAGGAAGTCAGACTATTTACAATGAGAGTCTTGCCTTTTCGTTTATTAGATATCAGGAGGTAATTCATGTCATGAGACTAGTACTTTGTTTGGTGTAGACTGTATTCAGTTAGTCAAGGAGATCATTCCTTGGTTGGTAACAAGTCAATTCCTGAGTTACTGTAATCAGTTAGAGTTAATTCCATTAGTACACCTCTCTATGATAAATCTAAAGAGAAGAGGAGAAAGTTGGTAACTCTGACGGAGGACACTACTGGTTGTATTTACTTCAGATGACAAACTCTCTGTAAATTCTTACACGGCTGCGTAGGTTCACGTAGTGTCTTTTACTTTCTCGATGGGAAGTGTAAGGTGTATAATCACAGTCAGTCCAAGCCCACTGGATGCATCCAACCTTTAACAGTCACGTTTGGCCGAACAGCTCCATACACACACACACATACAAATAATATGGAACATTTGTTTTGAAGACTATTCAGGATAAAGAATGACATTTTCTAACCTGATGACTTAAGAAAAGTTGAATAAGAGTCAGAAATGAGGTCATGTTTATTATATAAATAGATCGTCTGTCTGTCTGTCTGTTTTCAACATAGAACTTTACACCGATGTGCACCAGTTCAAAGTCCCCACACTCCCTTAAGGCAGCACACAAAGCAACAGAAGAAAGTAAAAAGAAGTGCGAAATAGAGACAGTAAACAGAGATATGAGGCAAAAAGAATAATAATAACGAAGAACAATATAGTTTCATTGGAAATTATAAGTCACAAGGAAAGAATGCATCTGTGCCAGCCATTGACAACGACGATTTTGAGCCATATAATCGATTGTCTCCAGCCGTCATTGGTGTTTACCATCCCGAAGACCCCAACCAGGAAGTCCACACATTCCTACGTGACTTACTGGCTGGCTTAAACTAATTGTTGTGAATTTGATTGACTGATGAAGCCATGTTTTGGTTTGACCACCACTAACTAGCTCTGTTCCTACCTGACCCTATGTCAGTCAGTTGACATCGCCCATTGTCGAGGAAGGCGATGACTAGGTATAACAGCATGCATAACACACGTCCTAACCATCTCAGTCGATGTAGCTTCACAGCCTTGTCAATTGTGTTCCCCTCCTTATCTAGCACTCGACCGATGCCTAACCTCAACAGTGCTCACCCCATTATACCACGTCATCTAACACGGGAGATAGAAGGCAGGCACCTATGATCAAAGACAGCTAGCCGGGCTTTTCATGTCTTCCACTCTCAATGGCCAGATCTCACTCACAGCCATAAAGGAGGATGGAGAGGACCTCTGAGAAGTATACACGTCCTTTGGTCGATAGCCGGATATCAGATGCAAATAGATACTCCAAAAGAGAAAAACTCTGAAAGTAGAACCTTGGCGCCGGGATCATGGTGATTCCCGGGCGGAGGCTCACCATTGCACCTCGGTGGGTTGAAACTCGCGACCGACTCTAATCGGGTGCGCTCGGGCATGTAGTTTTTCTCAGTGGGAAGGCCTCACAGTCCTCCCTTTTTGTGTGCGTCGGTGGCACAGTGGTTAGGACTCTCGCCGACCATGCACATGGTCCGAGGTTCGATCCCCTGCCGACGCACACCTGAATGGTATCTATGGTCGGCCTGCAAAATTTGGGCTACCGATATCCGTGCTGAAAATTCCATACTTGGACCAAAAATACAGAGTGGAATTAAGCTGTAATCACAAAAAAAGACATGTCAGCTGCACGCACACATACACACACACACACACTAACCTTGACTGAGTGCTTTTTGACGAGATTCTTGTGTGATAACAGTATTCAGTCGGATTGTAAAAGTATACTGACCAGCTGGTTGAAGTTTACTCTCCCCAGAACCATCTTTACATGGATCCAAAAATGCAATCACTGCTTTACGTGCAGCTGACAATAGATTTGGTCGACCAGTAAGATCAACTAGTAGGAATTGATCGCCTAAGCCAACTCTGCGCTGAGTACCAGACGAAAAAGGGGTATTCTGATGTGAAGCATTATTCTGTAAGAGTAGATTAGCTACTTGACCAAGTTTAACATTTTCTTCAGGAATCTATATATATAGTGGAAAATATGTATAATATATCAATAAAATGAAGACAACATGTTACTTTAGTGTAAAGAGACTACAGAAAACGGTACACTTATCCGTCTAACAGCTGTCAGTGGGAACAATTTAACAATTTTCAACGATGCACTCACACTCTTGCAGGTGAACCGCTTGAAGTTATCGATAAGTTGTGAAGCTGGATAGTTTTTTGAGTGCTCGATGAGGTGTGACAGACGATATTTATAACCATATCACGAAAGCTATGGCGGTATACGTCAATTTGAGTCACCTCTGACGCCGTCGAGACGTTAACCTACCTGTCGAAAGTCAGGTTTACAATGCTTCCGTGCGTACAGTCTTTCTCTACGCCTGTGAGACCTGTCCTTTCGGCTTTAAGGAAGTCAGGCGATTTTACTTTTTTTTACTTTACTTCGGCTATCTCCTACGGGAGGATGAGCCGGCTTCATGAACCATGAAGTTTCATGGGAATTGGGTACGAGTGATGTCCCCAGCATCGCTCGGCCTTTTGTTTGAGAGTGCAGCTCTAGCCTTTACACAACCAAGTGTGACCTACAAGGCAGTAGGAGTGGAGTAGGGAGTCCACTATCCATTGGCAGCCGGTGACCGGAGTCCGGTTCATTCGCCTTTTTGAATGGGGCCAGTCATCCAGGGCATCCAATAAGCCCTTTGTCCATACGTCTGCCGGTGAGCTTCATACGCCAGTCGTTGGAGGTTTGGAATCAGGGTTTAGCCATCTCCCCTAGACTGTCATCCAATGGACAGTCAACCCGGTGAAGAGCGCCGGGCATCCGCTTTCGCCCTCTCACTTTGGTGAAAAACACCCCCACCACGTGAAGGCAGTGAGTAGGACTTCCTCAGGAGAGGCTATGTAAGACGCCCGGTCATATGGGAGCATTTCAAGAGGTGTACGGAGGGGTGGCCAACCCGCAGCGCAAGACACCCACCCCCGACCATCCTGAGGCTTTGGAGGCGATTCCGTGTATTTGACTATCGTCGTCTCTGTAAAACTGCTTACGTGTGAGAAATTCTGACGACCGTCGGCGTGTGTCTGGACACAGTGAAGATTACCATTCATTGAGTGTCGTCATCTGTAAACACCCACTTCAGTGACTGCCTGAACATGTACTACCAATGTTATCCAAGAGGCTTGCATACCGGACTCTGTTCGTTAGTCCTCGGACGGGATGGAATGAGCGGAGAGGTGGTTGGTAGTAAGACGTTCCCCTCAGATGACCAGTAAGTCAGCTAAGCTGACTCTCCAATCTAATGAAGAGACACGATTAAAAGAGGTAAACCCAGGGAAATATATATCCTGACTTACCTGGCAGTCTGTCTGTCTGGATTCAACATAGAACTTGGCAGTGGGTCGTAGTCGCTAGTAAAATCCTAATACGGACACAACTTCAGAAACCAACTCAAACAGATATTAGGCAAATGTCCCATGGGTTCTAAGGCTACACAACATTAACGTTCCTTCCTCAAAGAAGCAATAAACTTCCATGGTATTATGATCAACTGGGAATTATTGACTGCTCATATATATGCCAGGCTGCGAACGACACATCACTAGTTTGCCAGATTGTAATAAGAAGACGGAGAATTGAACCAAGGAGCAGTTGCTTAGAAATCCGAATGTTTAAAGTCAATGGGCCACATTTCTACAATGTACCGTTAAAGTAAAGGGTCTATCATAAGTTAACTTGAAAGATTTCTGGACATTTATGCCAATTCCCACCTTGTTATTCTTTGTGTCAATTATACACACGTTTATCCTTTGTAAAATCTCTTCATATCTCTTCCCTTCTTTGCTGTGTATTGTTAGAAAGCATACTAACTTGGCGTGCTGTAACTGTGTGGAAGATTCTATTTCAATCTAATAGTCGGTCTAACACCAATAATACTTGCAATCACCTACAGTTTACTGCTCAGCAGTCAGCTCCATCCTCGTTTATGGCTGTAAGGCCTGGCCATTGAGAGTGGAAGCCACGAAACACGCCTGGCTAGAGCTGTCTTTGATCATAAGTGCCTGCGTTCTATCTCCCATGTGAAATGGTAAAATAGGGTAAGCAGTTTTGAGGTTAGGCGTCGGCTACGTGCTGGACGGTGAGGAGGGGAAATCAGTCGACGAAGCTGTGAAGTTACATCGATTGAGATGGTTGGGACATGTGTTACTCATGTATGCCTAGCCATCGCCCTCCTCGACAATGGGGAATGAAAGCTGACATAGGGTTAGGTTAGAAAAGAGCCAGCTAATGGTGGTCAAACCAAAACATGGCTTCATCAGTCGATGAAATCCACAACAGTTAGTTTAAGCAAGCCAGCCACGTAGGAAGATGTAGACTTTCTGACTAGTTGGGGTCCTCGGGATGGTATAAACTAATGGCTGGAGACAATCGTCTATATGGCTCAAAATAGTTCGTTCTCAGTGGAGCAGATGCATCTATTCCAATGAAACTATATTGCTCTTTGATATTACTATTCCATTTGTCTCATATTCCTGTCTACTGTCTCTATTTTTCATTTCTTCTACTTTCTTCTCTTGGTTTGTGTGCTACATGAAGTGTGGCGACTTGAACTGGTAAACATCGGTTCAAAGTTCTATGTTGAAAACAGACAGACAGACACACACACACATATATAACCACCTTCGTTATTCTTATCGCCACGTGCGTAAACCTTATTATCATTATTTTGTTATCATTATAAGCATCGTTATTACTGACGTGTAAAACATTTAACACTTTTTGTGTTGTTATTATTATTACTATAATTTGATCCACAAAATCATCATCACTGGTTGAATTTTTTCTGGTTAGACTGATTTATTTATTGGTGTCAACTTTGAGGTTCGCAAAGATGTGCATCAGTTCGAGTTGCCACCCTCCCTCCATGTAGCACACAAAGTACGAGAAGAGAGTGGAGAGAGAGAGAGAGATAATAAGCAGAGATATGCGGGAAAAGCAGTGATATTGTGATACAACGATAGAGTATTATTTGATATTACAAATTAACAGGAGTTACTGCATCTACGCCAGCCATTGACAACGACGAATTTGAGCCATATCCATAATTAACTTCAGTCATTAGTTCTTACCATCGTAAGGGGCCCAACCAGCCAGAAGTCTACACCTCTCTATGTGGGTGGCTGGCTTAAACTAACTGTTGTGGATTTCATTGACTGATGAAGCCATGTTTTGGTTTGACCACCACTAGCTAGCTCTTTTCCAACCTCATCGATCCTATATCAGCTAACATTGGCAATCGAGGAAGGTGATGGCCAGGCAGGAGTGAGTAACACATGTTCTTACCATCTCAATCGATATAGCTTCACAGCCTCGTCGATTGATTTCCCCTCTTTATCTAGCACTCGACCGATGCCTAACCTCAGAATTACTTATCATATTTTACCACCTACGAAGGGAGATAAAACGCAAGCACCTATGATCAAAGACAGCTACTTAGTCTTAAAGTGTTTTCCACTTGCAATTATCATGTTTGGCAGCCATGAAGTGGGACAAAGAGCATTCTGAGCAGTACACACGGCTGTTGGTCAACGGCCAGGCATCGCTTGTACGCCTGAGATGGCGTCATTTGTTATACACCAAACGAGCCTTCTGTATCCGTGCTGAGATTTCTTAAGGTAGTAGTTTGTCTGTGTTCTAGTCCTGTAGCATCATCTTACATTTGACAGGAGCAAATCGCATGCTAAACATTTTGAGATTGCTGCTCCTGAAGGCGTTCAGAAGAGTCTGTATTTTGTTGGCGTCTTGAGATAGAAGGACTAAGTCACCTGCATATTCTAAGTAGGTCACTCCGTTGTAGCAGGTTAACCCTGAGCCGCTGGAGTCAGTTAGGGTTAAGTCCATCAGTAATTCTATGATGAAATTGAACAGAAATGGGTACAGTTGGCTTCTCTGACAGACACTGCTGTTTTTCGTCACCGTTTTCAGATGACAACTCTCCGTTGGCTCTTACTCACCTGGCTGCATGAGTTCGAGTAGAGTGCCTAGATCAGTGTAATGTATTTTAACGGGATTCCTTTTACAGCCAAACATTGCCAGAGTACCTCTCGGTCGACAGAATCAAATGCTGCTTTCAGGTCAAAACCATTGCTGGAAACCAGCAAGTATGCCTATGTTCCAGAGCCTGTCGAATGGTGAAGATATGATCAATACACTCTCTTCCTGGTCTAAAGCTTGCTTGTGCCTCCCGAGCACCACTTAGTCCACGCATGATTATTGAGCCTAGGACTTTAGATACTATATTAGTCAAGCTAATCCCCCTATGATTATAACAGGAAGACTTGTCTCCCTTCTTCTATACTGGGATAATAAATGACTTACACCAACCCGACAGGACTTCCTCTGATTTCCAGACGCCGCCTAGTAACTCAGGTAACTCAGACAATAAAATGTCGCCACTGTACTTATATACCTCCGGAATCATTCCATCAGGTCACGCAGCTTTGCCTCGTTTCAGACCAGTGACAACTTTTGTAACCTTAATTAATGTGAATAGAATTTGTCGAAATTTAAAACGCCATATTAAGAATCATTTAACACCAAACAACTACTTACCATAATATCAGCAAATAACTGTGGCGTCATTCTTAAGCTTAACCGTTGAACAAGAGAAGCTTGAAAACGTGACAATAAATTATGAAATTCTTTTTCCATTTTATCAGCTTTTATCAGTGGAAATACTTCTGGGACAACATCATCTCGGGAGATCTTTTTGTTTTTAACACTGGCAGGTAAACCTCCTCCTTTTGATTTCCAACGGACTGGTGAATACAATATGGAAGTGTTTAGAGTACAAGCAGACGTGACAATGTTCTCCTTCCAAAGAGATAGTAAAGGCGAATTGAATAAGGAACGTGAACTAAGCTGGCAGATTGAAAACAATCGGTTCATTTTATTTAATTACAACCAGGAGGCTTTCTCCATTCAATGCAAAGCAAGAACACGAAGTGTTTGGAACAAATAAGCGCAGTAGTAGTCGAATTCTACGGAATTTTCGAGGTAGGCTAGGTGTGGTGTCACATCAACAGTATACCGTCTGAGGATCACAAAATGAAGTCTCAAAATATTCTGTGCTCCAAATAATCAATCTGTATAGTAATAATAATAATAATCGCATTATTCCAAAGAATAATAATAATTATACAGAATGGAATTCTCAGCATTTTTATACATATTGTAACAAATTAGCCCCTTTTATTGAGTATGTAGATATATAAAAAAAAAATTGTGCGTCGGTGGTATAGCGGTTAGGCCGCTCGCCGATCATGCACATGGTCCGAGGTTCGATTCCCGGCTGACGCACTCCTTTACCTCTCTATGCCGGAAGGAATGCTGGTAAACGGGAAAGGTTGGGCATGAGGTTAGCAACCCCATCCTGTAAAATAAAACACTGCTACAGAAACTTCAAGTCACTAGCTTGAAGCCCTATGTTCCACTGGGAACGTGAAGGAAACATTATTATTATTATTAGATATATAAAATTACAAAAACCTCAAAGCTGGTGGAAACAACGAATTATAAATAAATAATACATGGTGCGTCGGTGGCACAGTGGTAGAATGCTTGCCAGCCATGCGGGTGGTTCGGGGTTCGATCCCCGGCCAGTAATAGGACTGGCAAAGTCTGTCTGTCTGCCGGTTTTCGACATAGAACTTTGCACAAATGTGCGGAAGTTCAAGTCGCCACACTCCCTTCACTTAGCACACAAAGCAAGAGAAGAAAGTACAAGAAAAGCATAATAGAGACAGAAAGCAGAGGTGTGAGACAAAGGAGGACTAATAACGAAGAACAATATAGTTTCATTGGAAATCATAAGTCACAGGGAGTGGATGCATCTGCGCCAACCATTGAGAACGATTTTGAGCCATATCACCGATTGTTTCCAACCATTGGTGTTTACCGTTCAGAGGACCCCAATCAGTCAGGAAGTCTACACCTTCCTACGGGGCTTAGACTAACTGTTATGGATTTCACTGACTGATGAAGCCATGTTTTGGTTTGACCGCCACCAACTAGCTCTTTCCCAACCTGACCCTATGTCAGTCAGTTAACATTGCCTATTGTCGAGGAATGCGTTGGCTAGGCATGCATGCGTGACACATGTCCCAACCATCTCAATCGATGTACCTTCACAGTTTCGTCGATTGATTTGCCCTCCCACCGACCTAGCACTCCACAGAAGCCTAACCTGAATATTGCTTACCCTATTATACCACGCCACTTAACACGGGAGATAAAACGCACCCATCTACGATCAAAGACAGCTAGTCTTTTCATGTCTTCCACTCTTAATGAACAGCTGTCACAGCTATAAAGGACAGAGCGGACTGCTGAGCAGTACACACGCCCTTTGGTCGACAGCCAGCTGGATATCACGCAAACCACTTGTCTGGGATATACTTTTGACATATACAGTGACTATAAATAATTTGTGCTTATTTTGAATGAAAACTGATAAATACCACTGTAGCCTGAGACTTTGAAGTATGCTAGAGCGGGACTGTTGATGTTAGATGGTTGAAGGCAATCAGCTACTACAGAAAATCCTATCTCACCTAGATTTCATGCTAGTTGGCACTCACCAGACAGTGAAGCGTATCTACAACTACCTTGAAGGAACTCATATCCCTTCTGAGATCAGAACCGGTGTCACTCAGTGCTGCCTGCAGTTAGGAATGTTATCACCACTGAGTTACTGGGGCTCGCGATTCACTTCCTGTAGGACTGTATTGGATATTTTGATTGGACACTACTTACTAAATAGTGTTCAAAGTAGAGAGCAGGACTCTCTGAGTGCTGTGCCATATATCCACCTCATTTTTAAAAAAAAATGTTAAACGGAATAAGTTAAGACATGTATGGTAGATTATCAGGATAAATTATTACACTGCCTGACTTAGTTTCAACACGGAAATTTGCACAGAAGTGCAGAAGTTTCCACACACCATATACCACACACAAATGGAGACAGAAACGATAGATTCAACATAACTATACTGTATACTGCATTCTCTTAAAGAAGTAGGAACGCAACCACTTAGTGATCCAGGACTAAGTGTCTATCTCAGTGCCATCTATGTTGCACACCTAGGGAGTTCTAACCAGTTTGTTTAGGTCAGATTTATGTCTAAAGATCAAACTGACAGTTTGGAATTTAGAGGGATTCAAGATGAGACTATTTTCCTTGGACCATTGGCTGATTTCTGATAAAAAGCCATTTAGTTTAGAGCAGTCACTTTGACATTTGACAGGCAAAGATACAGTCAGGTCGTCAGCATATTTGACAAAATGAATGTCATTTGGATTTAGTAAGTCATGTAGAAAGAAAGAAAAGAGAAGTGAAGAGAGTACAGCACCTTGGGGGACACCACCACCAGCTTCAGTGAGCACAGCAGAGGAGGATCTGCCTTTGTAGACGGTATGCTGCATTCTCTTAGAGAAGTAGGAATGCAACCAGTTAGTGACCCAGGACTCAGTTTGTGTCATAGAGAGCTTATTTAGCAAGAGATGTCTAGTTACAGAGTCGAAAGCAGAAGTGAAGTCGAGAAACGTGCAGCGGACGTATTCGGCACCTTTATCTAATGATGAGACGATACTGTTGTGTAAGACGGCTGCAGCGTCTAAAGTACTCCTACCCTGTCTGTAGGCAAATTGTTTGGGGTCTTCGTAGCTTTTAAGGGAGGGTTCGAGTTTAAGAAGTACTAGTTTTTCCATTAGGTTTAGAAACGGGGAAGTGATGGCAATGGGTCTGAACTTTACTTTCTTGCTATTTCCAGGTTTAGGGACAGGGACTATTTTAATGTCTTTCTATGGAACAGGTACAACGTTTTTGGAGAAAGAAGCATTTAGGATGTTAGTTAGTGGAGAACATGAAGCATCTGCATATTGTTTTAGAATATATGCAGGTATACCATCAGGGCAAAGGCTACGTGAGGGCTTAAGCGTTTAAGACATTTTAGAACATCGAGAGCATCAAAATCACGAAAGTTATCAGCTACATGATTAGTAACGTTAGAAGTAGAAAGAGACAGTATAAAAGACTGATTAGGAGCATTACCATCATAAGAGGCAAAACCATTACATGGCTTATTATTGGCAGTAATTTCAGTGACAAGTTTCCACATGCTGATAAGAGATTTGCATGATAAAAGTGTATGGTTATAGATAACATTACGATTTTTGATTTCAGATTTGATTTGAGCATTAATCTTTTCAAGTCCTAACTTATCTTTGAATTTGTATAATGTTTCCTTTCGCCTGAGAAATTGTTTGAGACCAGAAGCGGCCGAGGGGTTTCAATAGTGTTTGCTTCGGACATCATATATCAAGGCAGAACTCAAGATTAGTCGTTATATTAGCGATTGTGTTATCTAATGTACTTTCATAGAATAAATCCCAGTTAGTATTTTTAACATGCACCTTAGATTGAGTAAGTTGTCAAATGTGTAGCATCTTTGTTGTGCTTTCATAGACAGGTGTGAGGAGACTTTAATATGTGCTTTGTTATATAGTTTCGGTAAAACACGGACAATGCAGTGATCAGAGTTGAGTATCGGTGCACGTGTACGTGTTTCATATACTCCTTCGTCATTAGTAAAAACTAAATCGAGTGTTTTGTCAAGTCGAGTGGGAAATTTGACTATATTTCTATGACCAAGTTCTTCAAGGAAGGAGAAATCTGAGAAGTTGAAATCCCCAGTAATAATTGATAGAGAGTTGTCGAAGTTGGCAGCGGTAAATATACTGAATTCCTCAGCAAAATTTCAAAGATCAGATAACGAGCAACTGGGAGAACTGCACATCTTTGTAACAAAGATATGTTTATATATGGGGAAATGTGTGGGACGACATTTGACAGTAATACAGTCTATGAAGTCCTTTGACAACGAGAAGCAAACACTATTTGAAATAGACCATTTGGAGTGGATAAAAGTTGCCACTACACCACCACTTTTCTTATTACAACATTGACGGTCTTGTCGAAATAAAATGAAGTCCTTTAGTGAGATAAGATTCTCATCATACAGTTCATGTAACCACGTTTCTTGTAATATGATTATGGCAGTGTTATGATAAGTGTCAGTGGACATCAGAGATTGTAGGTACGTTATCTTGTTAGGCAGATTGCGTCAGTTTGTGTTCATTATGACAGAGACCGTAGTTAAGTGTATTGATGTACGTTCAAGAGCTCTCTACCAACCACTACGATGCTTCCTCCTTGATTTCTTTGGAATATGAAAGTCATTTGGTCGTAAATGATTAATAAAGTTACGAGAGTAAATGATCCTGTTAGAATTCATATTTAGGTGATAAATAAATGTGAGTAAACGGTAGATTAGATGCAATATGTAGATATCATAGTAGCTGGCCCAGAAATTCGAACAGGCCACCAAGGTCCCAACCTTTGGCTTTTGTGGCCTGATTCTATAGCGTGTAGACGAGCTATGGCTGATGATTTTTCAAGCTTTTCTAGTTCAACCGGATTTCTCGGTGGTCGAACGGATGATATGTGTTGCTCATTTCTTCTGATTTTGATTTCTCGAGATGTTTGTCCGATGTATATCGCATCACATTCCAAGGATTTTATTTTGTAGACACAATTAGATAGAGAATCTTTAGGGATTCGGTCTTTTATACGGACAAGGTTGTTTCTCAGTGTGTCTGATGTTTTGAAGAAAACTCTGATGTCGAGCTTATTGAGTACTCTTCTGATATTGTCTGACGTCTCTGCTCTATATGGAATGATAATAGTTGAGGTCCATGTTTTCCAAATACGTTCGCGACCATACTTGATGTCAGTGTTGATTTTGTTGATGAAGTTCGTTGGGTAGTTGTTTCGCTTGAGAGTTTCAGTAATGTTTGACATTTCTTCTTTCCTTCCTTTCTTATCCGTTATCAATCAGAGAGTGTGCTCGTCTAAGAAGACTTGAAACAACTGAAATTTTTACGCTGATGGGGTGTGATGATCTGAATTCTAAATATATATTCGGGTAGTTTTTCTTACTGAATATAGTATATACTAAAATGTCCGCTTCCCCTCCTCTTAAACTAGTCATTCAGTCTAGAAATGGTAGTTCACCGACGTCTG